TCTTGTGAGCTCCTACAGTTGGTGTTCATTGGCTTTGTTGGTTGAATAATGGAGGTTCGGATATTGGGGGTGGGGGGTGGGGGGGTGGGAAGCAGATGCTGGCCACCTTGACGTTTTTTTTGTAACTATTAAATAGTCATGACTTGGCTCAATGATGAGGACTGGTGGTGGTGGTGATTGTGTGGTGGCGAGAGAGTGTGATATTGTTGGGGCGTGGGCGTGGTATGGGTCGTGATATGGCATGGTCAGGGTGAGGTGATGCTCCTATTCATGTAGTGATGGACATGATTATGGTGGTGTGGGATGGATATGTTGTGTAGTGATGGTGATGGGATGGTTATGGAGTGAAGGGGGGGGGGGAGGGAGCAGTGAGTGTCTGCTAAAAAAAAGTGGACATTGTTATCGTACTTATATGTCAATGGTTACTAAGCCTTGTTGTATCTAGGACAACAGATATTTAAGTGAAGGACAACAGATGTTTAAGTGAGGGACAAGAGATATTTAAGTGAGGAACATTAACGGATGCTTAAGTAAGGAACAACAGATGTTTAAGTAAAGAACAACAGGTGTTTTAGTGAGTAACAACAGATGTTTCAGTGAGTAACTACAGATGTTTAAGCGAGGAACAACATACATTTTATAGAAGTTTTTATAATTAAAAGTTATTATTTTATTCTTTTGATTTGCAATAAATAGTGTTTCACATGGATGAGTGACATGCGTATTTAAAAAAAAAATGCGTTTTGGTGGACTGATTGTGGCGACGAGATGATGAATGCTGCGTTAATGACCTGCTTCATAGATAGAGAGAGGGTAACGCATAAGGTTTTTGAGTGTGAAGAAGTCATGGGTTTCTTTAAACAGGAAGGAGTCGCAGGCTTCAATGAGCTGGTGGAGAGATTCTTTTATTAATGGGAAGGTGTTGAATCATCTTGAATGGGGTTGATTGTTGGGTTCTATTTATTAATAGGCTTTGTGAATGGAGTGGGGGAATATGTTTATATTATAAAATTGGAGCGAAGAAATAGGCTTCATTAGTAGAGAGACCTGACTCAGAGACCGGGCTACTGATGACTTAATTCCTAGGAACAAATTTACAGTAACTGAAATAGGAATATTTGTTTGGTGTAATTTGAATGAAGAGTTTCATGCGTAAAGCAGTTTGATTTTTTAGTTTAAACGAATGGGCAGATTATAGGAATGAGTCCAAACTTTATTCCTGGACTATTTCTTTATGATTACCGGGAAAACCAGACTACTTATTTAGTACGGAGGAGAGGGAGGGGGGCGAGCAGGGCGCAGGGGGTGAGGAAAAGGGAAGGCAGAACTTGTAGACAGGTGAAGGGGGGGTTGGGGGGGAGGAGATTACCTTACACTGACCCGCCTGGGGTAACAAGCGACCACCCACTGCCTTAAATATCAGAGAGATAAGACAAATGGCGCACTGTGGGATGCATGGGTGGGTCCCATGTGGATGGGGCGACGCTTGTCGTTATTCCCTCCCCATGATCGCTACTTCCTACCCATTATCGTTACTTCCTACCCATGATCGCTACTTCCTACCCATTATCGCTACTTCCTACCCATTATCGCTACTTTCCTACCCATGATCGCTACTTCCTACCCATGATCGCTACTTCATACCCATGATCGCTACTTCCTACCCATGATCGCTACTTCATACCCATGATCGCTACTTCCTACCCATTATCTCTACTTCCTACCCATGATCGCTACTTCCTTCCCATGATCGCTACTTCCTACCCATGATCGCTACTTCCTACCCATTATCGCTACTTCCTACCCATGATCGCTACTTCCTACCCATTATCGCTACTTCCTACCCATTATCGCTACTTTCCTACCCATGATCGCTACTTCCTACCCATGATCGCTATTTCATACTTATGATCGCTACTTCCTACCCATTATCGCTACTGCCTACCCATGATCGCTACTTCCTACCCATAATCGCTACTTCCTACCCATGATCGCTACTTCCTACCCATGATCGCTACTTCATACCCATGATCGCTACTTCCTACCCATGATCGCTACTTCCTACCCATGATCGCTACTTCCTACCCATGATCGCTACTTCCTACCCATGATCGCTACTTCCTTCCCATGATCGCTACTTCCTACCCATTATCGCTACTTCCTACCCATTATCTCTACTTCCTACCCATGATCGCTACTTCCTACCCATTATCTCTACTTCCTACCCATGATCGCTACTTCCTTCCATGATCGCTACTTCCTACCCATGATCGCTACTTCCTACCCATGATCGCTACTTCATACCCATGATCGCTACTTCCTTCCCACGATCACTACTTCCCTCCCATGATCGCTACTTCCTACCCATGATCGCTACTTCCTACCCATGATCGCTACTTCCTACCCATGATCGCTACTTCCTACCCATGATCGCTACTTCCTACCCATGATCGCTACTTCCTACCCATAATCGCTACTTCCTACCCATGATCGCTACTTCCTACCCATGATCGCTACTTCCTACCCATGATCGCTACTGCCTACCCATGATCGCTACTTCCTACCCATGATCGCTACTTCCTACCCATGATCGCTACTTCCTACCCATGATCGCTACTTCCTACCCATGATCGCTACTTCCTACCCATGATCGCTACTTCCTTCCCATGATCGCTACTTCCTACCCATTATCGTTATTCCCTTCCATGATTATCATACCCTCCCCATGATCACTATTTCCTGGCCGCCATCACTATTACTCCTCCCCCCCCCCCTCCTCCTTGACTGATATTTCTTTCCTATGCATTAAATAATTAATAGGCTTACGTAGGAGTACCAACTTTATTACTAACGTAATTAATTATAATTATCTATATACCAGACATGACTTGGTTGACCTCATCGCGACCTTTATGGTAAGGTGGCGGGTAGCTACACCCTCTTACCCGCCCGAGCCGGGCATTTATATATATATATATATATATATATATATATATATATATATATATATATATATATATATATATATATATATATATAAACAATATTATGGGAGTTTAAAAAAATGACTTTAATATGGGCGAACGTAGTTTCTTCTATTTAAATTTAAACTTAATTTTTTTTATCTATTTATTAAATAGTTAAAAAATTCTAGTTATTTGGGGAGCCTTGCTTTGATTAAGCTAAGGTAAGAATGAGGAGAAAGGGTTAAGCCAATACGGTCACCTAGTCGAGATCTTCCAAATACTCAATATTTTGGAAGATATTAACGAAGACAAAGTCTCTAAAAGGGCAAATATAACACATACAAGGGACACCAGCTTTCTGCTCCACAAACCACATTGTACCTTGGTTACCTTGAGGTGTTTCCGGGGCTTAGCGTCCCCGCGGCCCGGTCGTCGACCAGACCTTCTCGTTGCTGGACTGGTCAACCAGGCTGTTGGACGCGGCTGCTCGCAGCCTGACGTATGAATCACAGCCTGGTAGATTAGGTATCTTTTGGAGGTGCTTATCGAGTTCTCTCTCTCTTGACACAGAAACGGAAGCGCTTTCTTAACCTTAGGTTAAAAACCCTTTGAATCGCCTTTCCGCCAAAGCCGTACAAGCCATGGCATTACTCCAGTTTAAAATTCAGATGAAAGATTTTCAGAAACAATTGAGGGAACTTGGACAAGCCACCGGCTTCCTGTTCTTTTCGAAGTCTTTAGGATGGTGGCTGTCAGATAAATTGGGGTAACCAAAACCATATAATGCTAGAAACCATTAAATACTAGAAATCAACAAATAACCTATATATAGTCCTTTTGTTTGGCCATTATATGAAATAATTTTAGAGTAATGATAACTTTTGTATATTTGTACTTAAATTTGAAACGTTGTTGTAGGAATTTAATCAATTAAATAATATTAAGAGATTAAGAGTTTTGGTATATGTTAATAACATATGAAATTATTTATATGAGAGTTGTTAACTAAGTTAAATCAACAGATACAATAATGGAAATAATCATAATACTATTACTACTACTACTACTAATAATAATAATAATAATAATAATAATGCACAAAGAAATCATTAATGCAATGTATCAATGAGATAGGCAACATAAGCCACAAGAAGGAACCCCTAGAGGATTATGTTTAATCCCAAGTTACATTGCTGTTATAGCATATAGTGGCCAAGTGGTTCAAAGCGTGTGGTTGGGGTACCCAGTATGCAGGTTCGAGTCCTTCTTGTGGCTCTTACCGATTTTCACATTTTACATCACGTTAATACTATTTCTTTGAGCATTTGAAGAGAAGCATTAGAGGTAGAGCTCCTATACCATATAAAGTAATAGCAGGCATAAAATATACAATCTAATTCCAGTTAAATGTAATCCAAAGTTAAATGTAAAGCAGTTAAATGCTCTAATCCTAATTAATGCAATTCCGGAACCAATACAGGTAATCCAATGCCAAATATAAAATATATATATGTACTATATTAGGCCTAGGATTGCTATGTTCTTGTTAGATTTTTGTGTTTTTTTTCAACTGAAGGGTTTATGATGAAGTCTAACTTTTCAATAGTCCTAAATAGGAACGGTAATATTAATGCAGCACATTGGTGGTACAAAATGTGACTGTAATATTAGTGCAAGAGCCGTTGTATGTACTGTCTGTTTTGAGGTTGAGATGAAATTAGCAGAACTGCAATTCTATATTTGAAAAGAGGAGCATTTCCACTTGGATATATATAATAGCTTAGACAACAGAGTGGTTGTTGATCTCATACATGTTATGCCTCAGTAATATATTAGGTTTAGTCACTATCCTTGCTTAGAGGAGAAACATCCTGAACATGTATAACCCTGCAGTACATACAACATGCAACACATACAATATTATGTATATTCGAAATGTAATGCATACTCCATGCAGTGCATACTGCAGGTAGCACATACAACACTGAGCCAAATTTCCCAATGTTATTACTTAAAAATATTCTTTGCTCACAGGGAGTCTTCAATCATCAACGACGTACAAGGTAGGGCGAGACTCATGGACCCACACTAGGAGAGGCCACCTCACATGAGGTAAGTTTGGATAATCTTTTATTGTTTTCGTAAATGCATTTACGAAACGATTCGTTCATTGCTCGTAAGTCTTGATGTGTCGATATCCACGCCATCTGTGGAGTGAGGTGTGTGGATATTCACGCCATCTGTGGAGTGAGGTGTGTGGATATTCACGCCATCTGTGGAGTGAGGTGTATGGATATCCACGCCATCTGTGAAGTGATGTGTGACGATATCCACGCCATCTGTGGAGAGAGGTGTGTGGATATCCACGCCATCAGTGGAGTGAGGTGTGTGGATATCCACGCAATCCGTGGAGTGACGTGTGTGGATATCCACGCCATCTGTGGAGTGAGGTGTGTGGATATCCACGCCATCTGTGGAGTGAGGTGTGTGGATATCCACGCCATCTGTGGAGTGAGGTGTGTGGATATCCACGCCATCTGTGGAGTGAGGTGTGTGGATATCCACGCCATCTGTGGAGTGATGTGTGACGATATCCAAGCCATCTGTGGAGTGAGGTGTGTGGATATCCACGCCATCTGTGGAGTGATGTGTGACGATATCCAAGCCATCTGTGGAGTGAGGTGTGTGGATATCCACGCCATCTGTGGAGTGAGGTGTGTGGATATCCATGCCATCTGTGGAGTGTGGTGTGTGGATATCCACGTCATCTGTGGAGTGATGTGTGACGATATCCAAGCCATCTGTGGAGCACTATCGACCACAATTCGTTTATTCGCTTAGATGGATCTACGACAACACCCTCTATTGAGGGATGTGTCGGTGGCAACGCCATCTGTTGAGTGCACCAGACCACATTTTCTGTTCCCCCGGTGAAAGGCTCTCATCATATTTTATCCCTGTGTAGTTTCTGTCTTGCAAATGACGTTTCTAGTTTGCAGAAGTGATATGGATAGTATTGTGGTCAGCAGTACTCAGATCACTCAGGGCAATTCTGAATTTAGGGCGTGTTCCAGCGGGAACAAGTGACCGCGTCGGTATAGACAGTGATTTGGCTGTAATACTTGCGAAGTCTTAGTGATTGGACCGACGTACCCGGGATAGGTCAAGTTGATCTAACAGTTTAAGCTGTTTTAAGAGAGGATGCAATCTTATATGGAGTGTATCGTATGTTATACAGGGGACACAATCTAGTAGTGGGCAGAGGGAACTTCTACATTGAAGGCAGCAAAAAGTACGATCCGTCTGTTAAGGCTTGTTGTAAGCCTGTGTGGAGTGGAGTTCTGCCAGTGTGTTGCTGTAGACCTCAGCTAGCGTGTAGCTGAAGAGAAGAATGAAGTATTGGCCGTCTGTTAAGGCTTGTTGTAACCCTATGTGGCGTACTGCCAGTGCGTTGCTGGAGACCCCTTCCGGTGTGTTGCTGGAGACCCCTGCCAGTGTGTTGCTGGAGACCTCTGCCAGCGTGGTGCTGGAGATTTCTGCTAGTGTGGTGTTGGAGACTTCTGCCAGCGTGGTGCTGGAGAGTAGAGAGAGTAGACCACGTAACACCACCGTTACGTGGTGTTTAGAGACACCGTAACGATACAGTGTTGGACTGGCCCATGTTTGAGTAAGGTGAACTAGCCGGCGTGAGGACCAAGTTAGTACCCTAACTTGACGTGACATAAATTAACATTCCAGAGGAGGTGATAGAGAAAGGGGATGGTTGGTTACATTAGTGAATGTTAATTTATATCACGTCAAATTAGGGAAGGGCAGGTTAAGTTAAGCCAAGACAGGGTAAAGCTAGTTAGGATTGGGGTTAGGTAATTATAGGTTGGTTAACTTAAAAGGTAGGGTAGGGTGGGGGTAGGTTTCGTTAGGTCAGGATGGAGTAGGGCAGATAAGGTTTGGCTGAAGTAGGTTAAGGCTGGTTGGTTAGAGTAGGCCAGGTTAGTAAGATAGGATAATGTAGAATAGGTTAGTATTGGGTAAAGGAGTTTAGACTAGGTTAAGAAAGGTAGGTTAGGTTAGGTCAAGATAAGGTAAGGCAGGTTAGGTATGGTTGGATTAGGTTCGGATAGGTTAGCTACAGTTGGTAGGTTAGGGGTAAGTTAGGTTAGAGAAGATCACATAATACCGGGACTGGGGTCCTGCACTTGATCTATAGTAAGTAGGAGTGATGGCCCAGCAGTTAGAGAGAGGACAATGCAATTCCTGTGAATATGAGAAGAAGAAGAAAAGGTGGTGACCACCTATTCCTCACACCACCCTATCTATACCTGCATCCTCATATTCCAAAGACATCCTCCCTTTTAGACAGTTGCTACGGGCTGCTTCCCGGGGGAGGGGGTGTAACAAAAAGGAGGTCTGGTCGAGGACCGGGCCGCGGGGACGCTAAGCCACAAAATCATCACAAGATAACCTCAAGATAACGTCCCTAATTTCCCCACACCACCTCCCTATTTCCCATCACCTATAGTGCTCACCATCTCATTATATATTCCCTAGCCCAGTATATTTCTTAGAGCCGAAATATTCCTCATAATTCCCCAAATTACAGTGTGACCAAACAGATACCCCCTCACCATACCTCTTCCCTTCATCGTCCCTCTACCCCTAATCACCCCAACACCGCTCCTAAAATCAACACCCCTAACCACCCCCTAAGCCCGTCACCCCTCTCCAAGCGGCGGCCATTAGCCAGGAGTCAAGTAACAAGATCAGTGATAATTTGCATAAGGCTTCCCATGCGTATTCTAACTCACATTAAATCCGCTTATTGTGGTGGTCACCGAGCCTCTTGAGTGACCAGTGTGTGTGTGTGTGTGTGTGTGTGTGTGTGTGTGTGTGTGTGTGTGTGTGTGTGTGTGTGTGTGTGTGTGTGTGTGTGTGTGTGTGTGTGTGTGTGTGTGTGTGTGTGTGTGTGTGTGTGTGTGTGTGTGTGCTCACTTAGTTGTGCTTTCGGGGGTTCCACTTTGGCTTTTTGGTCCCGACTCTGAACTGTCAATCAACTGGTGTGTGTGTGTGTGTGTGTGTGTGTGTGTGTGTGTGTGTGTGTGTGTGTGTGTGTGTGTGTGTGTGTGTGTGTGTGTGTGTGTGTGTGTGTGTGTGTGTGTGTGTGTGATTGCGTGTGCTTGCTTCTTAGCGTTCTCTCTCTTCTCCGTTGATTTAGGCTAATATGTCACTTTGTTTTGATTACCGCTGTCGCACCTTCTTCCTGTCTTTTAGTTTTATTTAAAAAAGTAAGAGTAAACAAAAATTACATCCTAAAAACTCCATTTTTGACACTTAACATTTCCTGACGAATATTCCAACGCAAATACTGCTGCTGACACTGTCCCTCACATTCTGGTGACACTGTCCCTCACATTCTGGTGACACTGTCCCTCACATTCTGGTGACACTGTCCCTCACATTCTGCTGACACTGTCCCTCACATTCTGGTGACACTGTCCCTCACATTCTGGTGACACTGTCCCTCACATTCTGGTGACACTGTCCTCACATTCTGGTGACACTGTCCCTCACATTCTGGTGACACTGTCCCTCACATTCTGCTGACACTGTCATCACATTCTGCTGACACTGTCATCACATTCTGCTGACACTGTCATCACATTCTGCTGACACTGTCATCACATTCTGGTGACACTCTCCTCACATTCTGGTGATACTGTCCCTCACATTCTAGTGACACTGTCCCTCACATTCTGGTGACACTGTCCCTCACATTCTGGTGACACTGTCCCTCACATTCTGGTGACACTCTCCTCACATTCTGGTGATACTGTCCCTCACATTCTGGTGACACTGTCCCTCACATTCTGGTGACACTGTCCCTCACATTCTGGTGACACTGTCCCTCACATTCTGCTGACACTGTCATCACATTCTGCTGACACTGTCATCACATTCTGGTGACACTGTCCTCACATTCTGGTGACACTGTCCTCACATTCTGCTGACACTGTCATCACATTCTGGTGACACTGTCCTCACATTCTGGTGACACTGTCCCTCACATCCTGCTGACACTGTCCCTCACATTCTAGTGACACTGTCCCTCACATTCTGGTGACACTGTCCCTCACATTCTGGTGACACTGTCCCTCACATTCTGGTGACACTGTCCCTCACATTCTGATGACACTGTCTCTCACATTCTGGTGACACTGTCCCTCACATTCTGGTGACACTGTCCCTCACATTCTGGTGACACTGTCCTCACATTCTGGTGACACTGTCCTCACATTCTGGTGACACTGTCCTCACATTCTGCTGACACTGTCCCTCACATTCTGCTGACACTGTCCCTCACATCCTGCTGACACTGTCCCTCACATTCTGGTGACACTGTCCCTCGCATTCTGGTGACACTGTCCTCACATTCTGGTGACACTGTCCCTCACATTCTGGTGACACTGTCCCTCACATTCTGGTGACACTGTCCTCACATTCTGGTGACACTCTCCTCACATTCTGGTGATACTGTCCCTCACATTCTGGTGACACTGTCCCTCACACTCTGATGACACTGTCCTCACATTCTGGTGACACTGTCCTCACATTCTGGTGACACTGTCCCTCACATTCTGGTGACACTGTCCCTCACATTCTGGTGACACTGTCCCTCACATTCTGGTGACACTGTCCCTCGCATTCTGGTGACACTGTCCTCACATTCTGGTGACACTGTCCCTCACATTCTGGTGACACTGTCCCTCACATTCTGGTGACACTCTCCTCACATTCTGGTGATACTGTCCCTCACATTCTGGTGACACTGTCCCTCACACTCTGATGACACTGTCCTCACATTCTGGTGACACTGTCCTCACATTCTGGTGACACTGTCCCTCACATTCTGGTGACACTGTCCCTCACATTCTGGTGACACTGTCCCTCACATTCTGGTGACACTGTCCCTCACATTCTGGTGACACTGTCCTCACATTCTGGTGACACTGTCCCTCACATTCTGGTGACACTGTCCCTCACATTCTGGTGACACTGTCCTCACATTCTG